CTGCATCTCTTTAAATGGCACATCACTCAAAAGCAGACCAAAATCTAGGAGTTACTCTTAATACTTATGTCTCTCACACCTTCCTTGTTCCTGCCATTCATCTTCACCAAACAATCATAAATCTGTCCACTTCTCTCCATTTCCCACGACACTGCATGTTTCTAATAGGTCTCCTGTTTACTCTTATCCTCTTCCACTGTATTCTACAAAGAATAGTCACAGTAATCTTTTAATAATGTAAATTGAACTTGTCATTTCCTATTTCACAGCTCTCCATGGCTTTCTCTTAAATTTAGAACAAAATCAAAATTCCCTAATAATGGTATACAAGTACTATATAACTTTCCTACTTCACCATGCATCGCTCTACTCTTTGATAATCATACTGTCCTTTCCCGCCCACTTCATTAAGTAGCATAAGCAAAGGCATGAAAGTGGAAAAGCACTGAGCAAGTGAGTGTAAACATTCCGTTTGTGTGGCTTGTACAATTTATAAAATAGAGGGAAAAGAGGAAAATAAGGTAAGAAAGATTAATTGAAACCAATGGAACGGAACAGAGTCCAGAAATAAATACACGCATATACAATCAACTGATCTTAGACAATGGTGCCTAGAATACATAGGGAAAGAATAATTTCTTCAACAAATGGTGCTGAGAAATGGAAAATAATAAAATGGACTGTTCCATTATGCCATACACAAAAATCAACTAAAAATGGATTATAGACTCAAATATAAGACCTGAAACTGTAAAACTCCTAAAAGAAGACAATGGGGAAAAGCTTCATGACATTGGTCTTAGGAATAATTTTATGAATATGACACTAAAAGCATAGGCAACATAAACAAAAACAAACAAGTGGGACTACATCAAAGTAAAAAGCTTCTATACAGGAAAAGGAACAATCGACAAAGTGAAAGGGCAACCTACGGAATGAGGGAAAATATCTGCATACCATGTATCTGATAAGGAGTAATCTCTAAAATATATAAGGAATTCCTAGAAGTCAATGGTAAAATAACTAATAATCCAATTAAAAATGGTGTAGAACTTCAACAGACATTTCCCCAAGAAAGACATATAAGTGGCTAATAGGTGGATGAAAAAAATAATTAACATCACTAATCTTCAGGAAAATACAAATCAAAACCACAATGAGCTATCATCTTACATATGTTAGAATGGCTATTATCAAAAAAAACAAAAAAGTGTTGGTAATTATGCAAAGTAGTGTAGCTGCTATGGAAAGCAGTATTAAAAACGGAATCACCACATGTGATCCAGCAATCCCAGTTATGGGTATTTATCTAAAAGAATTGAAATCAGGACCTCAAAGAGATATTAGCACTCCTATGTTCACTGCTGTACTATTCATAATACCCAAGATGTGGAAACAACCTAAATATCCATTGACAGATAAATGGATAAAGAAAATGTGGTATACACATAAAAAGGAAATTCCTCAATATGTGACGTAATGAATGAACCTTGAGGACATTATAAACATATATTTACCTGACAGAGCATCAAAATACGTGAAGCAGAAACTGACAGAAGTGAAGAAAGAAACAGACAATGGAAGTAGAAGACTTCAATACTCCATAACTTCCACCTTAAGACACTGGGAAAAGATCAAACTAAGCTAAAGCAAGCAGAAGGAAGGAAATCATAAAAAATTAGAGTAAGAATTAATAGCATAGAGAATTTAAAAGAGAAAAATAATAGAAACCAAAGCCTTGTTTCTCTGAAAAGATTAAAAAAAAAAAAAAAAAAAACGACAAACTTTTAGTTAGATTAACCAAGAAAAAATCAGCAGACTTACATCAAAAATCAAAGAGGGAACATTACCAATATATAAATTTTATTTATTGAAATAAAAAGGATTATAAAGGAATACTATTAACTGTGTATGCCAATAAATTGGATATCTTAGATGAAATGAAAATGAATAAATCTCATTCCTAAAAAGCCACAAACTATTAAAATTGACCCAAGTCATTGATAATCTGAATGTCCTAAAGGAAGTAAAGAGTCTGAATAAGTAATAAAAAAATTACCTACAAAGAAAAGTCCAGGTCCAGATTGTTCCACCTGAATTCTACCAAACATTTAAAGAATACTGATTTTTTACAAGTTCTTCCAAAAAACAAAGAGAACACTTCCCAATTCATTTTGTAAGGCCAGGTCTACTCTGATAATAAAATCCAACAAAGACATCACAAAAAAACTACAGACCAATCTCTCTTATGAATACAGACACAAAAACTCTCATCAAAATACTAGCAAATAAAATCAAACAATGTATAAAAAATAATTATATAGCATGACCAAGTGGGATTTACCCCATGAATATAAGATTTCGACATGAAAACCCAATCGAGAGAATAAAAAACAAAACTCACTTGATCTCGACACAGAAAAAGCATTTTACGAAATCCAACTCCCTTCTTGAAAAAAACATTCAACTAAAAATACAGGGAACTTCCTCAATCTGATAAAGAGCATCTATGAAAAATACAGAGCTAAAATCATATTCAGTGATGAAGACAGAATGTCTGTCCTCTAGACTGAACATACAAGGATGTCTGCTCCTGCCAGTTCTATTCAACATTGTACTTGAGGTGTCAGCCAGGGCAAGTAGGGAAAAATAAAAAGGCATAAAGATTGCAAAGGAAGAAGTAAAACTATATTCATAGATATCAAGATCTTGTATCTAGAAAATCCTAAGAATACATTAAAAATATATTAGAACTAATAAACAAGTTCAGCATGGTTGTGGGATAAAAGATAAGTATTTAAAAATCAATTGTATTATTAGACACTTGCAATTAAACTGAAAAAATTAAGAAAACCATTCTATTCACAGTAACATCAAAAAATTAAAATATTTAGGAATCAATTTAACAAAAGAATCAATTTAACAACTTCTCTGAAAACTACAAAACATTGTTGAGAGAAATTAAAGATCTAAAGAAATGGAAAACATCCCAGGTATCTTGTATTGTCCATTTCTTCTTGGTCTTCTGAGGTTTTCTGTTAGTTTATGGTGTTTTGCATTCCCCTCCCCCGCTAGCAAGCGTCCCTCTTCCCACTAAGCAACTTTTGCCTAACAATATATCATAAGAGTTGTTTTCATGTAATTCTATACCTTCGTTCTTTTACAAGGCAACGTAAACTTCCTTACTGACAGTGCTCCCTTTATGGATATTTATGATATTTCATGTTTAAAGATTTATGTGTTAGAGCCTCATTGTGGATTGCAAATCAGTATAAAAATATTCCTCCTTAATTCTCCTAACACTTTTGGTACTGAATTTAATCTCATCCATATTAACAGCATGTCTCCAAATTTCTTTTTCATGTCTCTAGTTTTCCTTTTTATTTTCAACCCTTCTGAGTCATTTTATTTTCAATGTGTTTGTTATATAGTGTGACACTGAGTTTGTTTTTTAACCTAATCTGAAACGTTTTTTAAATAGGTGAATTTATCCCATATACATTTACATACATAGTCTTATATATACTATCTCATTTTATGCTATTTTTTCTTTTGTTAAAAATTTACTTTCTGGTTTCTTTTTTCCTCCATCTACACCCTGTTTTCTATGATCATTATTTTGAATAATGCTGTGATGAACATGGGTGTGCAGATTATCTCTGAGATTCTGCTTTGAATTTTTTTTGGCTGTGACCCAAAAGTGAGATTGCTAGATCATATGGCAATTCTATTTTTAATTTTTTGAGGAATTTCCGTAGTATTTTTCATAATGGCTGCACCATGTTATATTTCTATCAACAGTGTACAGCGGTTCTAATTTCTTTACGTCCTTGTCAACAATGGTTATTTTCTGTTCTTTTGATAGTGGCCATTTTAATGGGTATGAAGTGGCATCTCACTGTGGTTTTGATTGGCATGACTCTGATGATTAGTGGTACTGAGCATCTTTTCATATGCTTATTAGCCATTCATCTATCTTCTTTGGAGAATTGTTTGAGTCCTTTGCCCATTTTGAAATTGAGTTTCTCTACTGCTGATTTATAGAAGTTCCTTATGTAATCTGGATATTAACCACTTATCATGATTTGTAAATATTTTCTCCATTTTATAGGCTGCCTTTTCACTCTGTGTCCTTTGATGCAGTTTTTAATTTTTATGTAGTATAATCTATTATTATTTTGCTTTTTTAGCCTGTGCTTTTAGTATCATATCCGAGAAGTCTCTGCCAAATCCAAGGCCATAAAGTTTTTCCTCATGTTTTCCTTTAAGTTTCATAATTTTAATTCATGTTTAGATCTTTGATTCATTTTGAATTAATTTTTATACATGGTAAAAAGTAAGGGTCCAATTTCACTCTTTAGCATGTGGATATCCAGTTTTTCAACACCATTTTTTGAAGAGACTGTTCTTTCTCCACTATGCAGTCTTGGCACTCTTGTGAGAAATCATTTATCTTATATATTCTTGATGTGAGCAGCTGCCTCCCTACTAGTTTCAAAATACAATAGATTATAGCTACTTGACTCCTTTCTTTCCTTATATAGGTAAAGTTTGACAGCTAGGTAGTAATGGCTTATGTCTTCTATGTTAGAAAAAGGGGGCCATGCATAAATATAGATGTGATATTGGCTCTTTTTTACTGTATTAAAAATTTTATATTTTCTGTCTTTGCTACAGTCTTCTGGAATACCTTTAGGTTTCAGTACTGAGACATGATACTTCACTTCTAATACATCAGCCTTAGGTATTTGTTTATAATCCTGTTTCTAAATTGCTGATATCTTTTCCAAGAAGTAAAAATTATTTTACAGATCAGTATGTACATTCACATAGACAAAGTAGCACTGAAGTAATTTACATTAAAAAAAAAAAAAGAAAATATAGAACTCTTAAATCATGAGGCTACATTCTCATCAGAATGACATGGAAACACACAGACGTATCCACCCCACCCCCACCCCCTTTCTCTCTATCTCACACACACAACCCAATCCCATTACCTTCAATATCTATCTGCAAGGATTCTTTCTCTTCTGACCAGGCTTCCTTAGGAACTGTCCTCTTACTATGGATCTCCTCTTTCCGTTTAATGGCTTTAATGACTGATGGGCTTTCAATTTTTTTGTCTTGTTGAGCTGAGCGCTCTGTAGTAGCAGCACGACTAGAACCTAAGAGAGGGCAATTAACACCATATCCAGACAGGAAGCAGACAAAAGTATTAAAATACCTTTCCAGCATCTATTATGTGAAAGGCACTGTTACTGATGTTGAAGAAAAAAAAAAAAGATCAGAAAAGTGTTTAGAAATTGCTGATCTAAACTGGAGTTTAAAAAATGTACAAAATTAGATATCATACAAAGTAAAAGAATTAAACCATAAGAGAAAGGCAGATAAAGACGTCTAAGTACTCAAAGAATGAGAAACTAATTCTGACCAAGAGGATTGCGCAAGAACTCTGGAGTAAAGTTAACAATTTTGGTGTCAGAAGATAGCTGAGCTGGAATACATGCTGAGATGGAAAGAAAAAAGCATTTTAGGCACAGGTGACTACATAAGAATGGAATCAGGAAAGCAACTATAAGTATAAGGTTTATTTGATTATAGAATTTATAAGAAAAAGACGTGAAAATTTGCATTTGAAAAGTTGTCTGGAAGATGATTTTACTGTTCTGAAAGACTATGCTAAATAAGTTTTCATTCTTAAGGGCAATGAAAATTTTTGGATTAGATCAACATGATCAAAACTGTTTCTGGAACATTCATTTAGCAACAGCAAAAGGGGTTAAAATTTTGAAGTGTTGCCCAGAATATAACTTTTGAAAAAAAAAAAAAAGTAATATGTATTACTTTTTTTGTGTAAAAAAAGAGAAGTGGCTAATTATACTCTAAAATATTTTTCTGTTTACATTGTGGCAGACTACCAGTTGTCCTCTGAAATCCATTTTCCTTTTCCTCTAAAACAGAATCCTGACTTAGGTGGACATACAGTTACCAGAATGAAGAATATATTTCCCAGCCTCCATGGCAACACAGTTTGGTGTGACCACATAACTAAGTCTGTTCAGTAGGACAGAAGAGGAACGGCATCTATCTACAGTATTTTAAATGGCACCTGGAAGTATTTTTAAAAAGAAATATGTTTTTTTTTTGTTCTCTTTCTTCCTTTTTGCTGGCTGGAATATGGGCCATATGGCTGCAGCATGAGAATGGAGATTAAAAATGTTGGAGTAATAGAAGAGAAAGAGCTTTGATCCCTGACACTCTGAAGTACCATGTTAACCGTTTATGTCTACCTCTGGATTTTTACAAGAAAGAGAAATAACATCCTGCTTTCTTTAAGCCGATGTTATTTTTTGTTTTTGTTTTCATCTCTCAGAGCCAAAACTAATTCTAACTTAAACACACTATTATAGGCATTTTAAATCAGCATAGTCCCATTGAAGCAAATAAACTGGATTGGAAGTTAAGGAAGTAAAAAAGCTGAATTCCTAAAGCAAAAAGGCTTATATACAACAATAGTATTAGAAAGTCAGCATCTCATGGCACTGAATTTTTTTAATCAGTAGAGTTTTTTAAAGTCTATTATGTGAATTTCTGTGAATACAATTAATTCGTGTACTATATTCAGAAAGTTTTCTAGAAATGTCTCAAAGACCTTTAAAATGTTTTATAAAATATTTGGTTTTATACCAGTCAATGTATACCAAAAATTACAGCTAATATCTTATTTCACATATGAGCAACATATGGAAGACGTCTGAAGAGAGCAAGAAGAGAATAGAGACTATTGTTGTTTTTATACTCATTTTAGAAGGCTGAAAGAAAATAATATGCAGATAATCCAGTTTACCTACCTGCAGTATCTTTCTGCAAGGATTCTTTTTCTTCAGGTTGGGGAGCCTTAGTCTTTGCCATTTTACTGTAGACCTCGGTTTTCTGTTTTTTCTCTGAGAGGTTCTCATCTTCAGTGATAAGAACTTGAACTTGGGCATCTGAAATAATGACATCATTTAATGCTACAGAGTAAGAAAACAAACAAAGGCAAGTTAACCCTCCCCACCACAAAAACCCAGAACAAAACCCAAACCCTTTTTACACATATTAGGTAAAAAGCACCTCTTAGGCCCCACCATGTAAAAACTGTGACAGTTATGGTGGGTTTATAACATGAATTGGAAAGCTTTCTTTATTTTCCTGTGTACAACAATGGTTTAAATAAAGTACTGCTCTAAATAAAATATGTTCTTTGCTGGTCTGACACAACAGTAAATAAAAAGGTCTTGATCGTATATCTTTTTCAAAGTAGGAAAGTAGATTTGAACAACTCTTTTGAGTTCTTTAGCCTACTCAAAGTGTTTGTAACTTATGGATCCAATTTGGATACTTCATGTAATCCTAGAAAAGCATTTATATCATGTACATTTTATTTATAGCCATATAATTTTTAAAAACCTTAAATTATATCCTTTTAAACTTGTCTAATACTTTCTATTTTCTTTGTTTTTCTTAGAGATACTTGCTAGAGATTTATCTTATTGGTCTTTTAAAATCAGCTCTTTTCTCTATTATATGAGAAAATTTAAGTGCAAAATAGTGTTTATGCATTTAAAAAATCACGAATGCAACAAAAATAACAGTCACCATGTAGTTAACAATAATTATGTGTTTTTACAATGGGATGACAAGAAATTCATTTTCTATCTCTAAGTATGAACATTTTTCAACATAGAAATCAGAAAGGCAATAGAGATTATTAAAAACAACATAATAAAAACCAATTTGTTTACCACAGAGCTTAAGAAATAAAACATTATAGGTATAATGATTTCCTGTGTAAAGACTCAAGGATGACTTTCTTTTTGGTAGCAACCTTTATACTAAATTTAGAATTCATCAATCTCAAGGAAGTTTTTGAATTTTTTAAACTATATTGCACGAATTAATCAACAAGGTACAGGATTGTTTTGCATGTCTTTAAACTTTATCTAAATGGTAAAAATACTCTATTAACCTTTAAGTAACATGCCTTTTCCACTCAATATTATGATTTGGGGATTACTTAAACTAATATATGTGGCTCTCATTAACCGATTCTCTATTGTCTCTAGAAAACCTGTTTTCTGACATTAAAACTTTTGGGCCAATCCAATCATCTTGAATTAAAAATTGTTTTTCTTTTCCCTTCTTTTTATGTTCTATTTTCTAAGAGACTTTCTCACTTTTATATTCCAATCCTTCCACTGAGATTTTTATTTCTGATATATTTTATGAGCTCCTTAGCTGTTATGCATAGGTTACCCTTCAGTTTCTTCAAGCAGGCATTCTCCCCTTTATCCTTAATCTCTTAAGGTGAGAGGTTCTGAGGCTGGGCTTTTCCCATGGTAAAATGGTTGCATAGGATTAAGTCAGAAGGGCTTTTCCTTAAGATGCAAAGTTAAAACGTAGACTAAGAATAACAGTATCAACAGATCCTCGGAAAAGGTTGGGAGGTTATGGGGGTCTCTTAGGTAACAGAGCCCCACTTTATTTCAAACACATCACTCTTACCAAATGCAGCCTAGAGATGAGTTATAGCTGGTGAATACTTTGTGCAGAATTCTGATGAAGTTCCCTTAGTCTATGACTTTTGTTCCCTGTCAATTTTTCCATATCTTCCCCCTCATCAAGTCTCTGTCAGTGGGATCACAGGATTATCTACATCTACCAAATTGCCACTAGTTTGCACCACTTGACAAATAAATTCATCAGGCAATTTAATCAAGATTTCCTATGGACTCTAGTCTTTAAAACATATTTAATAGAATATGATTTCACTCAAAGTTGCAACATATTTTATTTTCCATAATTAAAATAAAGTTTACAGTTTTCAAAAATTTGTGAAGCAGTTTTAAAGATTTTATAAACATTTTATCCTTCTTGTATGTAGCCAATAAAATAACTAAGAGACAAGTTTGTATAACAAAGCCAAAAAGGATAATGACTAGACAATATTCTCATTTAGGATGAATAGGGGAAAAAAAAAACCCCACAAAATATACGAAGCCGATCCAGTTACCTGTTTTACCTTTCTGAAAGAGCTTTTTCCCCATTGGCAAAGATGCCTTTGTCACTGCCCTCTTACTATAGATCCCCTCTTTATGTTTAATATTAACAGTGAGTGCCAGGTCATCGTCTCTCGTGCCTAGCACCTGAGCTGGGAAGTCTGGAGCAATGGCATCGTTGGAGCCTACAGAAAAATGGGAAAGTAGTATAATTAACACAAAAATAAAGCTGAAAAGACAAAAAATTTAAGTCTTAAACCACTTCAGAAAAAATGCGACAATGGGAGTGTTGTAGGGTAATCAGAAGGAAATGTCAAACTGAAGCTGTCAGATATTTAAAATAAATTGCAACAATAAAAGGTGGAGAAGTAAATGACAGAAGAAAGTAGACTAACAGTTCAGAAGGGAGACAATTTCCAGCTCAGAAAGTTTTCAGAGAAGGGAGAAAACAGACTGTATCTTGGAACATAAGATTTTTGAAAAAATACGAAGAGGAGGGAATAAAGACATTTTAGGCAGAGGTACAGCATTAGTAGACAAGGAGACAGGAAAGCAAAGAGTATATAAGAACAGCAGACACATTTGTAGTCAGGCTGAATTACAGAATACATTAAAAAGAATGGTGGGACATATTAAAATTGTTTGGGACAAAATTTAGCTGGGCATGGAATTCCAAGCTAATGAGTATAAATTTTACTGTGCACGAAATACATAACTTAAGATTTTTTCAATAAAAGGAAAGATAATCAGCTATTTTTCAGGAAGAGTAATCTGACAATACGAGATAAAACATTGAAATGAAAATATGTGATAAAGAAATATAAGATTTGAAACTAATTTTATTTTTAAAAATATATTTCAATGTTCCTATATCCACTGATAAGTTTATCTATGCCACATATGAGAGGCAAAAAAAAAAAAAAAATCTCTGGAACTATAAGAACTTATAGTAACTACAGAATTACCATCTACAAAAAAAATTTTTTCCCCTAATCTGAGATTCTGTACTTCATGCATTTCCTGAGCACCTAAAATGTATATTGCAACAAAAACTAGGTAAATATCAGTCTCATCAGTACAGTAGAATATAAATAAGCCATGAAGCATTTTTCAAGACAGAATGCAAGGATCCTACTCTAAGCCTTCTGGGTCACATGTACCAATTATGTTGGGGTCTTCTCAGCTTCTGTGGCATCATTTTCTCTTATTTGCTCCCTACCTCTCTGATAAATCCTTATTATTCTTTCTTCTACCATATCTTTCATTCCTGTAGTTCCTCAAGGGGTCATAACTGGGCACTCTTCTTCTGGGTGAACTCATTGATTACCTCTATATACTGATGACATACATATCTGTAGCTGGGACCTTTCTTCTGAGCGTCAGATCCTAGCATTCAGGACACAGCTGGCCCTTACAGCATTTTTTGAAGAAATTAGAAAAAGATGACCCCCTTCCTCAATTACAAAAAATTTATTATTATATATTATGGTACAACACAAACACCTATACGTGGGGCATTCTCCTGACAAATACTTCCAAATAACCAGAGAACACACACTGCCAGCAGCATACACATGCATACTCTTCACTCTCAGCCTTCATTCTCTGAGAGGTAACTATGGTCAGGTTCAGATTCAGGTGGGGAACAATAAAGTTCCTGAGAGTAGTAGGTGGATGAGCAAGAAAAGCAACCTCAGTGGAGCTGAGAGACAGGTGAAAGAGAGTGTAGCCACACGTGTGTATGCCAGTGAGTTTATGTATACCTATTTTCCTACATCTGTGCACAGCTGTAGGATGTGTAAGTATAGACCTAGTTTAGGACAGGAATAGTTAACACTATTGCTCCGGATCGCTAACAAAAGACCTGGAACCTTCAAGCCCACCTGCGTGTTTTCATAAAACAGCAGCATATGTTTATGATGTGAACAGTGCCACCTTCTTTGCAGTACCCCCTGCATACAACCTCAACATTTGTAAACTGTCTACATTCAATTGCAGATTTAACATTTCTACGTAGATGTGGAAAAGGAATCTCATTAATATGTCCAAAGAGATATTTTGATCATCTTCATCTTCCCCAAATCTACCTCTTCCTCAGACTTTTCCACTTCAGTAAATGGTATCTCTGTTCATCCAGTTGCTTACTCTAGAACACCAGAAATCATTTTTTTCACCTTCTTCTCCCTCAACATATTCTATCACCAAGTCCAGGAAGAACTATTTTCTAAAAATAAGTTGACTGTATGCACTTCTCTTCATCTCTACCACCATCACTCTAATCCTAGATATTACCATCTCTAGTACTGACTATTGCAACAGCCTTCTAACTGGTTTCCCTACTTCCACTTCTTGACCCTCTGTCCTCACATTGTAAATGCATGAATGAGACAATGTCAATGTATGCTAAAATTATTTATCATAGCTAAAAACATTTCTTTCTAATTCATCTGATCTGTTTATGCTATCTTAAAGTTTGTTTTCTGTTCTTGTTCTATGTTATTTTGTTAATTCTGTATACTCAACAATAACTTGTGACTGGCTTATTTCACTTCATGCAATGTAGCATGTGGCAGAATTTCACTCCTTTTTAAGGCAAATAATATTCCATATCCCTGATTTTAATTATTTTGGGGATATACTCAGAAGTACAATTGTTGGATGATATAGTAACTGTAAGTTTAATTTTTTAAGGAACTACTATACTGTTTTCCATGGTAACTACATCATTTAAAGTCCAACTATCAATACATAAGGTTTCCAATTTCTTCATATCCCTGTCAATCCTTGTTACTGTTTTATAACAGCCATCCTAATGGGTATGAAGTGGTATCTCTCATTGTAGTTTCAATTTGCATTTCCTCATGACCTGATGTAGAGCATCTTTTTGTGTCCTTTTGCCCATCTGTATATCTTTCTTGGAGAAATGTTCTGTATCTATTTAAAAATTAGATTGTTTTATTGTTGTCATAGTGTTCTTCATATACTCTGGATATTAATCTCTTACCAAATATATGATGTCCAAATGTTTTCTCCAATTCTGTAAGTTATCTTTTTACTCTGTTGATAGTGTTTTTGGATGCACAAAAGTTTGCCTTGCTTTTGGTATCATATTAGAGTTTAATTCCTATAGTAATTTTTACTATATATTTTTGAGTTATTTTCTTAGCGGTTGTCCTGGGAATTACCAGTCACATCTTAATGTAAATTAACAATCTAGTTGGATTAATACCAATTCAATAGCATACAAACACTTTTCTCCTGTATATGTTGTTATTCTCCCTTCTTTATGCTGTTATTTTCACGTTGTATCCCTATATATTTTGTGCCCAGTAACAAATTTATAATTATTGTTTATGCATTTGTATTTTAAGTCATATACGAGAAAATGAATTTACAAAAATACATATATATGGTCTTTTGTCTATTCCTATGTAGTTACCTTTACTGGTGTTTTTTTTTTTCCCCTTATGATTCGAGCTACTATCTAGCGTCCACTCATTTCACCCTGAAGAATCTCCTTAGTATTTCCTGTAGGTCAGTTTGCTAGCAATAAACTCTTCTGTTTTTGTTTTAATTTCTCCTTCATTTTTGAAGGGTAGTTTTGCTGGCTAGTAGAGTTTTTTGTTGTTGTTGTTTTTCAGCTCTTTAAATGTCATTGCAATGCAATAATCTTCAGGTTCACTGATTCTTCTGCCTGCTCAAACTTGACAATAAGCTTCTCTAATGAATTTTTAATTTTAGTTATTGTACTTTTCAACTCCAGAATTTCTATTTGGTTTCTTTTTGTAATTTCTATTTCTTTACTGATATTATCTATTTGGTAAAATACTGTCTACTTCCTTTAGTTTTTTAGACATGGTTTCGATTGTGAGATATGTTCTTTGAACATATTTTATATAACCAATTTAAAGTCTTTGTTTAGTAACAAAGTCCAATGTCTAGGATTCCTCAGGGACAGTTTCTAAGCTGCTATTTTTCTTGTGTATGGACTACACACACACACACACACACACACACACACACTAGAATCAAAAGGAAAGTTTATTAGAAAAGGAGTAACACTCCATAGAGTGTGGTCTCCTCTCAAAGAGAGTGAGAGGGACAGAATAAAAGCACTGAGAGGGACCCTAAGTATTAGAGGCATTCAGTTTATATATCATTCTTTAGAACCTGTGGGTTATAGTTTAAAAGACTTTGTTAATCCATTTCCTTTGATGTGGACATACAGTGAGGAAAGGGAAGAGTATGTAGTGTGAAAAGGTAAGAATATGTAGAGTGAAAGGCCTGCTGGCAGTTCCTAACCTTTAATCCATGGATGGGTTCTGCATGGTTTTAGCCCTAGGGAATGATTCTTGGTTCCTGTTTCCCCTTCACAGGTGTAGGGCATGAGCTGTTAGTTATATAGCAGAAATCCTTCTGGCAGGCTGCAGGGTTGATCTGATTGTGCCTTGATTAGCATTTTAATTCTCTTGCCTCTTCCCTAAATTACTTGTATCAGTTATCTCCTACTGTGTAACATTACCCCAAAATTTATGGCCTTAAAACAGTATTTATTATCTCAGTTTGTGGGTCAGGAGTCTGGAGGGAGTTTAGCTGGGTTTTCTGACTCAGGGTCTCTCTCAAGGGTGCACTCTAGGTGCCAGGCTGCTCCAGTAATCTCTTGGTGTGGCTGGGGAGATGTGCTTCTGTGCTCATCCATGCTGCTGCTGGCAGGCCTTAGTTCCTCCATACGTTGATATCTCGGTCTCTCCAGAGGGTGCCTCACAACGTGGCAGCTAGCTTTCCCCATTGCCAGGGCTCTGTCAACTTTAAATATAAGTGGAAGCATTCTGTGTATACTTTTTTCCATCTTGCATTCTCCACTTAACAGTAGTAGATCCTGGCTTCCACTCAAGAGAAGCACATAGAGATCGTCATTCCTTTTTCAGTGACATAACACTCCACTGTGTAGATATATGGTTATTTACTCTAGAGAACTATACTTTTCAAGAGTTCTCTTGACTTCCTGTTCTGAATGGATATGTTACTGGAGAGTGGGGATCCCCTCCCGGCACGTTGTCCAGGTTCTTGATGTCGCGAACAAAGAACTGAGTAAGACACCGAAATACAGTAGAAAAAAGCTTTATTAGATGGGAAAGTACACTTCCAGACATGGAAGTGGGCCTTAGCAAGAGAAGCGTGGCTCAAAAGGCCGGACTATATTTTTAAACTTCCATATCTTATAAATTTTTGTTGAAAACTGGACAACTGAAATAATATGTGGCAATTCTAGAAATCAGATTCTACTCCCTCTTTAGGGTTGCTGTTATTGCTTTGTTTTTTTTAAGTAATCTAAACTAATTCTGTGAAGTTTTTTAAAGTTTCTACTCAACTAGCTTAGTGGTCAGCTATTACCTAGACAGAGACAGCCTTAAACATCTAGAACCGGTAAATCTCCCTGTCTTTTCTGAGGGGCTGTGTGTGTGTGTGTCAGGGCATGCCTTCAACACTGAGCCAGGCAGATGTCAACTCTGCCTTAGCCTTCCCTTTCTTCTTTCACAGAACTTCAAGGGCAGCCATAGCTAAAGGTTAAGGTCTTTCCTGAGCATGCACCCAGGCTTATGCAGGTGTGTGGTCTTCTAGAGTCCCAGGAATATGTCTATGGACATCTCATCCTCAGTTTTTCTTTTCAGCTTTTGGTTAATTATTGTTTGCCTCAACTGTTGTCCATGGCCTCAGGGATCGTGACATTAAAACACTTGCCTATAAATGTTTTTGATAAACACCTAACACACACATACACACAGAGGCTTTTAACACTGCATAACTCTGAGGTCAAATAAAGACAAGGCTTTTGAGTGGAGTATTTCAGGAAACCACCAGACAGGTCAAATATTGACAATTCTTTGGGATAAAGTTTTGAAAGAGGTCTGACTCTGTTCTGCTCCCTTCAGTCCTGGGAATGCCAGTGGGTATTTTTCAAGGTTATCACTGAGCTAAGTGTGGGGATGAGAGTAGGGCAAGTTAAAATGCCACAAAGCTTACTGTTCTTACTAAGATTCAGCCATTTTTCTTGAATAAATGCTCATTGGATTGCTGTCAAGTCTTTAGTTAATTTCCAGAGTTTTGTAAAAGTTTTCAAAACTTTTACAAAAGAGTTACAGATGTGACTAGGTAACAGGACAATGGAGGCCTCAAACAGCACTGGACACCTGATAAGACTTCTGTTGATACAATCTGTCTTCTGAACTAAGGGGGCTGAAAGTAAAAGAAGAATGAAAAATTTTCCTACCTACAATCAGTTAGGTGAGCTTTTTAAATTTCTGGTAGCCATTAAGTGTGTTTTTAAAACCATAGCTTTGCAAGTAATGGAAATTTCTTCCAGTTTCTGTTTACAGGCTTAATAATCAATCCTAACATTTGGTAAAATGAGCATTTTATTTTAGTTCTTTATTTCAGTGGCATCGTAGTGGGAAATTAGAAACAGTTATACTAGGGCCTTTAACTTAGTTACAATGAGATACTAGTTTGTGCCTTTTAAAATTAACAACAACAAAAAATCTGCCTAAGACGAGGACAGCTTCTCCTTTCTGTATAATTTCTATACATATAAAGATATCTATTGACAAATCATGAAGAAAACAATTTATATCTAAATAGAACCAGGTCATCTCCTGTGGACTACTCAAAATGTTATTCCATCACAATCAAAACCTCACGGCCACACCAATTCAGTATCCTTAAAAATCCCCACAGGAAATATTTATTGAGAACTCCATGGGGTGCTATTAATTTTCAAAACCTGCAGTTTCCCTGTGATGATCTCAGAGGGGTACTGCCAGATATTTTAAAATTCTAGGGAAACAACGATATTTGCTATCTGGCGCACTATACAAACTACTAATTCAAGGTAGTTTAAAATGACAACATTAGATAGTGCTACATTCCTTTCAATGCTGCTGTATCTTTGCAAACCAGGATTTTTTACAGTTACTGTAATAAAAGCAGGAAATGAGGGTGGTTGTGTCTAATTTCATCTCGAGGTCTGAGAAGTTGTACAGTGTCCTAGCTGCTGCATATTATATCATTAGTAACTGATTATTTATGAACAAAGTAAAATATTTTCTTTCAAAAAGCAAAATCAAAAAGAAATAACTAATATTTTTGTTTGTTGTTAGACTAAAACAATAAGTATTTGTGTCCTGATAACTTACTAGCTATTTGAAAAAGTACTTCTTATATTAATATGCGTTCCATATAATGGTGGGAAAAAAAAAGTCACCAAAACACTAAGAGCACTGTGAACAGAGAAAACTTGGAAACTTTTGTCCTAGAGTCCACTAACAAACAACTATCCATATAATTTTCTTCATCAAATATTTATTAAATGTTTAAGTATACATAATATATCTGACCAAATAACTCACTTATGTGAACCTGAGATTGAAGCATGAAAAGCTCCATTTTCACTAAAAGATTAAATAGCACTGAGCTTTCATATGTCATTCCAGAATTAACCAGCCAATTCACAAATAAAATATTAAAAAATTAAATTTGGATAATTCTGTATACCTGAGTGTGAGCTCTCGACGGTGGTGTCTGATTTGGAATCTCCAGACGTAGATGAAGGAATCTGACCTAATTGTGGAACATAATACATCTTCGTACTACCAGAAGGCTTATATGGCAACAGTGAAGGCTGGGCTAAGGAGATACAGAGTAGAACAATTAATAACAAAACACTTATATTAATTCAATGAAGAAATACTGAGTGTCTTCAATGTGCCAGTCAGTGTTCAAGATTCTTGGGATAGATCAGTGAACTACACATAAAAGTCTTTCTGCCTTAAGAGGAGGGAGACATACAAGAAAAATTTAACATACTAAATATGTAAATCATCTATGATTTTAACAAACTGTAAGTGATATAAAGAAAACAATTAGAAAATGCTGAGGGAGATCAGGAGTACTGGGGAAATTGGGGCACGATGCAGTTTAAGTAGGGTGGTAGGGTAGGTTTCATTGAGAAGATGAGTTTTTAGGATTTATTCCATGTATATGTGGAAACTAAAAAACACTTTATCTTACTTTGAACCCAAACCTGGTCACTGTTAATCCTACTATTGGTCTTATGGTCTTATTCTGCCCCTAGAGTGTTAGAAAATAAGTCTAATTCTCTTCCCTGTGACAGATCTTCAAATTAAAGTTCCTATTATAAAAATAAATTCCAATATTAAGAAAATACATAGAAGTAAAAAAGACAAGGTCAACCACTCAAGATAACTATTATTAACATTTTAATGTATTCCCTCCATCTTTTCTCTGTTTGTTTACATAGTTTCAGGCAGTATGTATAATTTGGAAATCAGATTTTCTACTTTACATTTATAATAAAATATTCATTTTATTTCCTCTTTACATTTTTAATGACTATACTATGGAGTAAATGTATTTAACCATTCTCCTAATGTTGAAAATTTAGGTTGAATTAAATTCTCAATTATAAAGAATTCTGTGAATAAAGACTTTCCTGTTTATGGCATACCCATTCTCCCTTGCTGCCCCATTTCAGGTAAATTCTCTGATTACAGAGGGAAAATTATACTATTTATAAAGTTAAAAGAAATACTCATTGCTAAAATGCTTTCTAAAATGTCTGTGCCAAAGTAATAAAGTTGATTATTAGAAGATAAAATCTTTTTCTATATATTTGTTTTTCTTTCATATTGTGGTAGAAAATCAATCTCTCTGTCTGTCTGTCTGTCTGTCTGTAGTAGCTTCACGGTATTTGTACACACTGCCCATCTGTACAGTGTATTTTCCAATCTCTGTTGCAGCCATGTATGAACATATGACCAAATTTGGGTCCATAGGACCAGTGTGAGAATAATGTGTGCAACTTCCAGGTATCTCATTAAAACACTCCACTTCCTAGGGACTGAAGATTAAGATAGCTGCAGCAGCCACTTTAGAACCAGGGATGGAAGTATCACTGTAAGGATGCCAGCGCCATCAGACATGGAATAGAGTTTCCTACTCTAGACCACTTACCTTTAATTCTGGAGTTTCTGTGATAAAATAGTTTAATCTGTATCCCAACACATACTTAGTAAGTAATCAGTCAATTAACTGTAAATCCACTGGAGCTGCAACTTACTACTTGTGTAACCTTTAACAAATTACTCTTCTTTTTGTGACAGTTTCCTCTCCTACAAAATAGGCATGATAATAACTACTTCTTAGAGTTACTGTAAAAATTTAAACAAATTTTTAAGTGCATCAAACAGTAATTTTGGTATGTGTTTAGAGATACAGTGTCAGGTTCTTCCAATCTTCTCCCTGCGTAAGTAACCAACTTATTCTAAGAGCACTTGTTATATAATCCCTATTTTCTCTATTGTGATAGAGCCTTTAAACTCAAGTAAAAGAGAATTCATTTCTGTGCTTTCTGTTCTATCAACAAATTTACAGATGGTTAGATTAGTACTTTAAATTTGGCAGCTGCCAAAATTCATCATCCCCATTATTTTTTCTTCCATATTTTCTTTGTTAATATTCTTCCTGATAAACTTTAAGATCAATTAAACAAGTTCAAGAGAACAATCTCATCAGAATTTTGAATGTAATTGTGTTAGAGTATTAATTTATTTGGAGATAAATGACATCTTTACATAATTCAGCCTTCTTATCCAGAAATATCCTAACTCTTCTCTTAATTTAATTAACTGTTCTCTTCTATCTCTACATAAAGGATTAATAACTTCCTTCATATAGGTCTCATAATACTCTTGTTTAGGTTATTCTTATTTTATGGTGTTGTACTATTTACATGAATAAAATTTTATAGATAGCTATCATTTCTTCTCACTAAACACTTCCAGCTCCTTCCATTTTTCCTTACAGACCAAGGATTCCTCTCCTATCCTGTTATCACCTCTAGATAAACTCTTAGTTGCCTATGTATAGTTTATAAAAGCAAAATACTCTAGACAGAGTCTGATAGTTCCAAAGTAGAATGAAGTCTACTCTACTGTGGCACAATAACCACCTTTATATTATTTAGAATTTTGTTATCATCTTTGACCACACCATCATTCTGATAACTTATTTTGACAATGACTTCCATATTAGGACCATGCTTCCAACCTACAGTGAAGGAAATGAGACAAAGGCTGACACATAAAGAATTTCACAAGCTTATCACCCACAACTATGTTAAACTTAAAAAAAAGAGTGAGTGATTTATAGATTGTTATGGCACAACTGATGGGCATCACTTTCTAAGGCTAGAATGCCACCTTAGAGATTATGGCATATGCTCAGAACCATATACAGGGGTCCCCAACCCCTGGGCCATGAACTGGCGGTACAGGTTCATAGAGTGTTGGGAACCAGGCAGCACAGCAGAGGTGAGCAGTGGGCGAGCAAGCGAGGCTTCATCTGTATTTGTAGCAGCTCCCCAGCACTAGCATCGCTGCCTCAGATCATCAGACATTAGATTCTCATAGCAGCACCAGTTCCTGATGCCAAAGGAGTTGGGAACCACTGAATATGGCACGTGCCTATCCCAGAGAAAGAATGCATACAGTCAGGAACAAAAGTAGAAGCCTTTTTAGAATCTTTTGCTTCCCATCTCTGTTACTCTGAGCTTTGTTAGATGGAAGATCATAGAAATAAGAGAGGGACTTCCACCAGAAGACAGGAGCTATTTAGTCATTTTACAATCTTTATGTCACTGAAACAATACGTGCAACAGGATCCCACAGTGCTGACTGTAACTACAACTGACCTTACCTGTCAGAGAGAAATAAAGTTGCCTTTAAAAAAAGTCAGGAGTACAACTAATACCTAGGGGCAACTCTACCATGCTTGGTGACAGAAATTAACAAAAAATTACCTTAAACCTATATATGAAGGGCTAGTAAAGTCTCAGACTATTTAGAAATATTTGTACCACTCCATTAGGCAAAAACAGCATCCAAAAACAAAACAAAACAAAACAAAACAACACACACACACACACACACACACACACACACACACACACACACACATCCCTTAAAACCTAGCCAATGAAAACCTGGTTAACATCAAGGGGAACAAAAAATATGTACAGGGAAGAATTTAAACAACAGAGGAAAAAAACAGTTGTACCTTCCATTTGTATTTGGTCATTGCTGTAGTCATTATCATAAGAATACTGACTTAATTTCCTTCCTTCACCAATGTATATAAACTTGATAGTAATGTTTAAATTTACCATTTATTTCAAAGGTTGCAGAAAATGAATAACAACAATTGGGAAGAATTACAATTGACCCAGAACGAGAGTGGTTATCACATGGAAATGGAGAATTCTGAGAAAGGTAAGTGGCCTTTGAAATTCTTGTTAACTTCATATTTGGATGCAACAGTTTAATGTCACTTTGGACTGCCTGCCTGTGGGGCAAGAAGTGGCTACACAGCAAATAAGGGTTGTTATTGGGAAAAACAGAAAGGACTGGAGAGGGTTAAAGAAAGTTCAACTATAAATTTCTTTAAAAAATATGAAATATAGAATCAAATATAAATATATAGCATATTATTCTAAATTTTAATTCAGAGTAGTGAGCAGAAAGTCATGTGTTTAATATACTATTCTTTGTACTATAAAATGTTTCCAACCAAAAAAGTCATAAAATTTTACTTTTCAATCCACAGTATTAAAAATATTTTATTAGTAAAGCAAATAATATTAATACTTTTTCCTCAGATACTTGTATGTAAAGGAAAAACTGTAATTTGTGGACTCTATATATACTGATCTATTTGATTTGAGCAGAGGTTTAAAATACACTTTCGCAGTTGGCTTTCCCCTCTTGTGCTTCTGACACCACCAGGAGAACAACATACCCAAGATAGCTATTGTTCCATTAGCCTGAGTTTCAGAACAAGGCAAGTGGAACAGAACCAAAACAATTCTGCTGCTTGGAGCCAATCTCCAACTGACACACAAACCGGTGAGTGAGAAAAGCAAATGTTTGCTGTTACGAACCAGGGACATTTTTGAGACTGTTATATGGTATCACTGTGGTTATAGGTAACTAACACATAAAGGTGTTATTTGTGATATTTCTTAAACTATACATTTTTGGAGTTCACCTTATGTCGTAATAAAAATGTATAAGAAGTATAACCATTTTAATATATAAATGCACTTATTTAAATTAAATTCAATGAAATTTAATGCTGAACCAAGCCATCTTCTTTATACATTTAGGCATATTCCAACTGTATCTAAATTTTTTGCATATGTAGGAAAACTTAAAATATATTTGAATAGATTTGTGCAAACTATTAAATACTTTAAAATTAGTAATCTAAAGTTTCTACCCTCCTTTGAGGGAAGATTGAGAACTTGTTAATTTTCCTATTATTGGTCGGAAAAAGAAAATAATTTGCACTAATTTTGAATATTATACAGTGTAAGCACTATCAAACTATCACTGTCACAACAGCACAGCACCTGAAATGTAAATCTTATGGTAGTGATAGCTAGCTATTCACCAAAATCCATTTCTTCTTCATCCTGGAAAAAACAGCTTAACTATTCCTAGCCAGCAGAAAGTAATTTGGACCATTTTCAGGCCTAGCCCATAAAAACTTCCCACATGCACTCTCCCATGCTTTTTATCTCTTTTAGTTGACTGTGACGGTGGCTCCATGTTTCAAAGATAGCAGGGCCATAGTCAAACTGGGTGCCTGGTCACTGTTTTATGAAAAACAGACTGGTATCGTGTTTGACTATTATATATATTTCAGTCTATTTATTATAGTATGTAACATTTACTGTAAGACAAAATGCCAATAATTCACCTGCCTACCTAAAACCTGACCTCTACAAGTTTTAAGTTTCTATGAAATACCTGCACATTCTTATTACAAGTATCATGAGATAAAAACATGTCAACTACAAGAAGCATGAGTTCCACATGTTGTTAACTACACTAGAAATCAAGGAAAAAATATAATAAATCATATTTTCTTCATAGCTATGTAAGTACAAGACAGCTATCATCATGTGGATCCTAATGCTTACAACTAAAATTAGGTTTTCTGACTAGAAAGACACAATCACAAATTTGACATAATTATACATAAAAATTAATAATATGACCTAAAATGTAATCATTCTCTTACCTCCCTCTGTGCCATGAGGAACAGTAATCTGCTGGACTGAAGATGATGAAGCAAACTTGACAGGAACTTTGCCCAACTTCTGGGTACTGGGCTCTGGAATTACACGTCCACGATCTTCAGCATTAATAAAAATCTCAGATGAAAACATGGTTTTTTCTGGACTTTCTGTTGTTATCTGAGTGACTGCATCAGATGATAATTTTCCAGAGAAGGCAGAAAATGAGGGCTTAATCTCCCCTAGTGACCTAAACAAATGAGAAAGGATACAGCAGGTCATATCCTTGGCTTATAAAACTCCATAACTTCTTTCCAAAAGTGGCTTCAAAGAATATTGAAGTAGCTTCAAGGAATACTTTGTGGACACATATCAACCTTAAATGGTTAAGTTATTCCAAAGAAAAGAATATAAAACGGGAGAAACAGTAACTTTACAGTGGAGACACCTGGCAAACACCATGTTATCCAAGTGATAATGGTTCACATCACCAGTGATGTGTAGACATCACATACTCTCTGCTACGATGTGATGAGACAGGTACTTCGCTTGTGTGGTATTCTTTGCCAAAACCCATAACTCTAATCATGAGAAAAATACCAGCTAAACCCAAATTGAGAGACATTCTACAAAATATCTCCCAAATATTTGCATATGTAGGAAAACTTAAAATATATTTGAATAGATTTGTGCAAACTATTAAATACTTTAAAATTAGTAATCTAAAGTTTCTACCCTCCTTTGAGGGAAGATTGAGAACTTGTTAATTTTCCTATTACTGGTCTGAAAAAGAATTTCCCAAGAGTGTCAAAATCATGGAAAACAAGCAATGAGGCAACTATCAGACCAAAGGAGACTAAGGAGACATGACAACTAACTAAACTGAATGTGATATACTAGATTGGCTCCAAGAACAAAAAAATGTCACTAACGGAAAAGCAAGTGAAATCTAAATAAAGTCTGGAGTCTAGTTAAGATAATGTACAAATGTTGGCTTAATTTTGGCAAATGTACTATAATGTAAGATGTTAACAATAGGAAAAACTTGGAGGAACTCTATTATATTTATATATTTTCTGTAAATCTAAAATTATTCAAAAATAAAATTATTCATTTAAAAATGGAATAATATTATATTGCATTATATTGGAGTAAAATCTATAATGTATCACAAGAAGAGAAGGCAGAGTTCTTTTGGAAAAGACAATGCTGAGAAAAACAAAAGGCAGCAAGAAGAGGAAGACCAAATATAAGATGAAATGACTCCATAAAAGAAGCCATAGGCCTGAGTCTACAGGAGCTGAGCAGGGCTGTTGAGGACAGGATAGGACCTTGTGGACATCACTCACTCGTAAGAGTCACCAGGAGTCGGAAAAGACTCAACAGCACATAACACACACACACACACACACACACACACACACACACAAATATAACATTTCATATGGCAGTTCTAAAAAATTTAAATACAATGAAATCATTGAGAATATAATCTCAGTTTCCATGATGGAATAAACTAGAAATAAACAGTAATCAGAAAGTTCCCATATAATTGGAAATTAAGAAACACCTCTCTACATAGCCCATGGACCAAAGAAGAAATTATAACAGAAATGAGAAAATATTTTGAATGATGATGATGATGATGAAAAACTACATAAAAATCTGTATACATTAGAAAAGGCTGAAAATTAATTAAAATTAATGTTAAAAAATTAAGTATTCTCAAAAAGACAGAAAAAGACCAAGTTAAAACCTCAAACAGAAGGAAAAAAATAAAGATAAAAGCAGAAATTAATGAAACAGAAAACACGCACTAGAGGATCAACAAAACCTCAACTGTTAAACCCCCTAGCAAGAGTGACCAAAAAAAGAGAAAACACAAATTACCAATAGCAGACATAAAAAAGCTTTTAACACTAGATTGAGCAAATATAAGAAGAAGAAGATATTATGAAAATAACTCATGCCAAAATCATTCAGCATTTGAAGAACCAAAAAAATCTCAACTTAGATGGAGAAAGAAAATCAACTGACACCAATGCTGAGATGAAAGAAATGTTAGAACTACCTGACAAAAACTTTAAAGAAGCTACTATAAAATGTTCCAACAAACAAGGGTGCATACCTGTGAAACAAATAGAGAACAAAAAGAGAAAAAAAAGACTGAAAAAAAAAAATCAATAGAGCTTCAGGAACCTGTAAGGTAATACCAAAAGGTCTAGCATTTTTTTCATCAGAGACAAAAGGTCTAGCATTTTTTTCATCAGACGCATATTTGAAGAAATAAGCACTAAAAACTCCCCAAATAAAATGAAAGATAGCTCAAACCCCAAACAGATGCCCCAAAGAAATTCATGCCTGAAAACATAATAATCTACTGAAAACAAAATAAAAATTAAAGCAATCAGAAAAATGACACACTGTTTCTTACTTATAGAGGAATAATGACCCAAAGAACTATAGATTTCTCATCAGAAACAATGGAATTCAGAGGGAAGTAGAATATTTTTACAGTGTGGAAACAAAAGGAAAATGTCAACCTAACTTCATGAGCCATAAAAAAATCAACTGGACTTCATCAAAATTAAAAATCTTAGTTCTATGAGCGACCACATTAAGAGGGTAAAAAGATAAGTCACATACTATGAGAAAATTCTGCAAATAACACATCCAGCAAAGGCCTTGTATCCAAAACATTAAGAATTCAAAACTCAACAGTAAGAAAAAAACAACCCTATTAAAAAGTCACTTCACCGAAGAGGACTGTAAAAAAGCACACGAAAAAAAAAGAAAACCCATTAGGGAAATACAAATGAAAACTATGTTGAAATACCACTACACACCTATAAAAATGGCTAAAATATACCAACAATATCACATGTTGATGAAGATGTAGAGTAACTGCGATGCTTATAGATTCCTAGTGGGAACGCAGATACAGCCATTCTGGAAAAAGTTTAGCATAGTTTAGTTCTAAACAGTTCTTGTAAAGTTAAACATACATATATACGCTATGATTCAGCAATCCCCACTTCTAAGTATTTACCATACAGAAACAAAAACTCATACATATATGTATGTAGCAGCTGTAATTGTAATGGCCATACATTGGAAACAACCCAAATATCCTTCAGAGTGAATGTATGATAAAGTGTGATAATCTGTACAATGAAATTGCAATATAAATAATAAAAGCAATATTAGTGCTTTTAATAAACCAATAAAAAGTAAAATACTGATTCACAAAACAAGATAGATGAATCTTAAATATGTTTTGCAAAGTAAAAGAAGCCAAACCCAAAACGTTGTTACATAGTTTATGATTTCATTTATCACACTCTGGAAAGGCAAAACTAAAGGGCAGAAAATAGACCAGGAATTGTCAGGGGTCATGGGAGAAAATGCCTATAAAAGAATGTCATGTGGGAATTTCTGGAACAGTGGAAATGTTTTATACATAACAGGGATGGTTGGATTTATCGAAACTGATAGAACTGTACAACACAAAAAAAACTTTACAATATGTTAATTTAAAAAAATAACCAAGATGTGGCGGCAAAGGTGGAATGCAGGATGTGACAAAGGAATCTAACTATTATAAATGAATAACATACTCGCAAAGAAGATTATAGGGAATAACAAAGCTGATTTAGAAAATGTCAGCAAAAGGTGTTTTAACTGGACATTGTAATGCTAAATTCTAAAGAAACTATACCTAAACACTGTACTCTAGCTGGAGAATCTGTTTCTCACCTGGGTATGGGTTATGCATTTTGAAACTACTTATATACTAGGGTAAACATATTGCACGTAATGACAGCCAGGTTTGTCACCATTGGAGAAAAAAGTTACAGATAAAAGAGAAAGGCTAGAAATCAATCCTGTAGTTCTGGATTAAAGTTATCCATATTGACTTGTGGTTTAAAACACACATACATACACACATACATGTGCACTCACATTAACCGATGGAAATATAAAAGTAGGTGTATGTGTGAGTTAATATACATACATGAAACTGTTAGCTTTATTCACTGAGAGGGCTAGAAGCAGTGATATCCTAGTATCAATTAGTAAATCCAGTGCTTATATATTGGTTTCTAAATATTATTCTACATTGTTGAAAGTGGGCTATTAAAGTCCACTATTATTGTATTGTTTATTTCTCCCTTCCAATGTTAGTATTTGCTTAATATATTTGGGCGGCCTAATATTGGGTATGCACACATTTACAATTCTTATACAGGTATATCTAGTTTTACTGTGCTTCACTTTATTGTGCTTCAGGTTTTTTTTTTTTGTTTTTTTTTTTTTGGTTTGTTTTTGTTTTAATAAACTGAAGGTAAGACCCTCTCCCAGGAAAAAGGTTATAAGTCACTGAAGGCTCAGATGAGGATTAGTATTTTTAGCAGTAAAGCATTTTTTATTTAAGGTATATACATTGTCTTTTTAGACTTCACAGACTACTATACTGTAAACATGTAACTTTTATATGTACTGGGAAACCAAAAAATTTGCGTAACTCACTTTATTGTGATATTTGCTTTACTGCAGTGGTCTGGAACTGAACTCCCAATGTCTCCAAGGTCTGCCTGAATCTTCTTGATGAACTGACCCCTTTATTTTTATATAATGACCTTCTTTGTCTTGTGTTACTGGATTTGTCTACAAGTCTGTTTTGTCCAATATAAGCAGTGCTAACCTCTGTTCTCTTTTGTTTCCACTTGCATGGCATAACTTTTCCCATTCCTTCACTTTAAGCCTACGTGTCCTTTAAGCCAAGTCAGTCTCTTGTAGGCCGCATATCAATTAAATGCAATCACTATTAAAATTCCAATGATATTTTTTTATAAAGAGAAAAATAACCCTAAAATTTTTACATAGCCACAAAAGACCCCAAATAGTCCAAGCAATTTTGGAGGGTAGTGGGGGACCAAAAAAAAACTGGAAGCATTACATTTCCCAATTTTAAACTACACTACAAAGCTACAGTAATGAAAATAGTAATGTTACTGGCATACAGACCAACAGAACAGAACAGAGAAACCAGAAATTAACATCTGCATATAGAGTCAACTAATATTTGACAATGAAGCCAAGAATATACAACAGGAAACGAACTGTCTTTTCAGTAAATGGTCTGGGAAAACTAGACAACCACAGCAGAAAAATGAAATTGAACTCCTATCTTACACTATTAGCAAAAATTAACTCAAAACGGATTAAAGACCTACACATAAAACCTGA